CTGTGACTAGCTTTCTACTGCTTAAAGGAATCCTTTTTACCTTTTACAGCTTCCCTTACTTTGTTAACCATGCAGGCTTTTTCCTATACCTGTTTGTGCCTTTCCTAACCTGCGGAATATATATTTTTTGAGCTTCTAGGATCGTAGTTTTAAATAGTTTCCAAGCTTCCCCAATGGTTTTGACCTTTTCTACTTTTCCTTTCAGTTTCCTCCCCACATGTCCCCTCATATCAGAGAAATTACCCCTTTTAAAGTTAAAAGTGGTTGTATGAGTCTTTTTGGCCAATTCCCTATTTATACAAATGTTGAACTCAACAACATTATGATCACTGTTCCCAAGCTGTGCAATCACTTTTACAGCTCTCACCAGGTCTTGAGTGTTACTTAGGACCAAATCAAGGATCACCTCTCCCCTGGTAGGTTCCGTGACCGTCTGCTCCATAGCACAGTCATTTAGAGTGTCTAGAAACTCAATCTCTTTTTCTCGAGTAGAACACATATTGACCCAAATCAATGTGTGGGTAGTTAAAATCACCTACTACGACACAGTGTTTGCAGAATACCAACATCTATGCTGAGATGGCCAGTGTTTTATTGCTTCCTCTGGTGAAAGTTCTAGCTGCAGGATCAGATGCCACTGGACACTTTGGGCTAAAAATTGAAACAGACCTTTTCTTGCCCACAGACAGCCCCCTAAACTTAAACAACTTCTCACTTACTTCTCATGGGCACAGACCCTGTCCCCAGATGTACTCCAACAGCACAAGCACTGGACCTAACAGCACCAGCTGCACCATCTCAGGTTCATTCACTTGCTCAAGTTCCAATGTTACATATGCCAGCAAGTGCCAACAATACCCTTCTATTTCCTAACAATGTGCATTTCCTAATAGCGTGCTTCTACTCAGACCTGGAAGGCTGGTATCAAAGGCCTGTATTTCTGCCAGAAAACCGGAGGCTTTTGTTGCACTATTTAGCACCCAGGGCCCTCCCGGTCTGGCCTGTTTGCCAAGAGGTTGTACGTCCCTGAAACTACGCTCGTGGCTTTGTCCCAGCCCGGCCTTCCTGACTTCTTGC